ACATAAACCCAATATCATCAGGAATCAATCACCACCATCATCAGATGCAGAGCCGGAGCCAGATCCAGAACCAGAGCCAGAAGCAGATCCTTCTTCAGAGCCCTCTTCTAAACCAGAGTCAGAGCTGGAAGAGGGATCCAGAATCCCAAGAGACTGATGCTGATAACTGAGAATGGTCCTAACGTCCTTTTGAATAGTTGAGACCTGAGTCTCAAGACGATCCAATCGGGCACAGATATCAGAAGTGGAGGAGGTGGAAGCTCTAGACCGAGAACGGGAAGATGATGGCTTAGCAGGATCAGATAAGGAGTCAGAAATTTGCATACTGGAGAGAGAGACTCTATCAAAGTATTCCTTACCCGGATTAACTTTGGGTTCATTGGTAAGAGCAACACCAAAGTGTTGGAGAATGAGAGTGATGAAGCAGCCAAAGGGAAGAAATTTGTAATGCTTGCATGCCATGTTCTTAAGCAAAATATTTGCCTAATTCACTTTTATTTTGGCAAAGATGGCATAAACAACATTAACCTTATCAGGGACAAAATGATCAAAGCTACCAGTTTTAGGAATGAGATTTTGAGCAACAATACGAGCAATGAGTTTAGCAGTAGGATTAAGTGATTTGTTGTTCATAGGATAGGTGCAACCGGGCTTAAACAAGATATCGTTCACAGCCTGATCGGTGTGATCGATAGACATAAGCTCAACGTCACTTGATAGGATCTTAAGGATTCCCACAAGCTCGTCAGCAGAAAAAGAGATCTGAATATTCTTAACAGATGTGGTGATGGTTTCAATACCATCGGCAGAAGTGGTGACAGACAGATTTGTATAAAGCAGATAAACAAGAAATGGGTAATACGGAACCTTACGTTCCACATCTAACAGTTTATCCAATCCGACAGCATGTAGAATCTCATGAATGTTATAGATAGCTAATTCCTCATATTTTATATATCTACTAGATAGAATTTTCAACTTACAAAGCTCCCTATACTTTTTAATTAGGGGTTTGAACAGTAGAAAATCCTCATAATGAGAGGCAATGGAAGATGAGGAACTAGCATCAGGCTTAGATCTCTTCTTAGGAGGCATGTTCTAAAGATAAGAGCAACAAGAAATACAAATGAACAAACCCTAAACCGAAACCCTAGAATTGAAAGATTGAAACTCTAGAGCAGGAAAAGAAATCAAAAGATGAGAGGAGAGATTACCCTATCAATTTCCAACTGAAATTGATGAA